ATAGATAGATAGATAGATAGCTTTGAACGTTCCATTTCTGTGTTGTGTGATCTCCTGCTGAAGTTTATAAAGTTATTTTTATCCTCTGGTTTTCAGCTGTCAATGGGAGAGACAGGAGAGAGAGAGCCAGATAATTTTTACTTTCCGTCTCCCATCGTCCTTTGAAGCATCAGAGAGATTTTATTTTGAGCTGCTCTTTTGTAAAATGCTCTGATACCAAGGACAGGTGCTGCATCATTCATGAATGGCAAGGAACTGTTATTTATGGACTCAAGAGTAGTTGCTGCAAGTCATTTCAACACTCAACAACAGAACTAATTAAAATACCACCACCATCACCACAACCACAACCATCATCACAACCACCACAACCACCACTGCTACCAGCGACTGTTTCATAGTTTCCCCTCACTGTGAATTGTGAATCAGAATTTATTTTAGTGAATCTGTTTGGCAAAATAAGGGTTAAAAGGTGTCAGATGAGGTGTGTGAAGTCAGCCAGAGTTTAATTATAAAGTGTGAAATGTGTTTTACTTGTGGTGATGTGTTTGATGGTGACAGAGGACAAGAACACAAAAGCAACAATGGCACCTGTCCCCACTGCCTTTCTCACTGTCCTTTGCATATATAAGTGTGTGTGTATGTACAGTAAATGTGTAAATGTCTTTAAATACATGTGCATGTGTGTATTGTGTCAATTCACGCAGACAAATCCTTCATTTGTGTGTGTTGCAGGGTGTTGGGCGCAATGGCTAATGCCTCCCCAGACCTGGACAACGCGGAAGCCCAGCGCCAGCTCAACAACAACAACCGACCAATCGGCTCTGGGTTCTGGGAGACGGAGTGTACCAGCTCCAAGCTGTTCGAGTGCTCCCGCATCAAGGCCCTGGCAGGTCAGAGGTCACACACAAATCGGCACACATGCTTACTCACACCCATATAGACACACACGCACACTACAAACACACACTATAAACACACCCATCAGCAAGGGTATAAATACACCTACATCAAAGACGTGGTGTCGATTCTTGCTGTTTTGAATTTTAGTATTAGAAATGTTCTTCTTTTATAACATTTTTATCATGACTAAGGTTTGCTTTGTGAGTATTGATGTAAAAAAACACAAATAAACAGGGCACTGTGGTAGCTCACCTGGTGGAGCTGGTGCCCCATGTACCAAGACTGAGTCCTTGCTGCAACAGCCATGGGTTCAACTTCGACCCCTTTCCTATCTATCTTTAGCTGTCCTATCTAAGAAAGGCATAAAGTCCCCAAAAATATTTTCTAAAAATTTAAATTCAACCCAACCAATGCTCTAACTCTAGTATTAATAGTATAAAACATTATTAGTATTAAAGTTTTGGTAAAGCTTAAGCTAAATTGCTAATCAAATCCCACGTCCCCCAAAACGCTGAATACAGGTTTCATAATTTAAAAAAGTCTCATCTGGTAAAGCATCTCACAAGTATAATATGATTAACGCTAGTGTTAGCTAATGCGATTTAGGATAAGAATTGTATTTATATTGTTCTTCTATTTCTCTTTTGCCTTTGATGTAAAGTTCTTTTATTTCCCTCAGATGAACGAGATGCGGTGCAGAAGAAGACTTTTACCAAGTGGGTCAACTCCCATCTGTCCAGAGTGTCCTGTCGCATATCTGACCTCTACAACGACCTGAGGGATGGATACATGCTCACCAGACTGCTGGAGGTCCTCAGTGGAGAGCTGCTGGTGGGAACACACTCGCACATAATGGCACATTATAACCGGCTTCGTATCAGTTTTGTAGTCTCTCGTGATTTATCCGTTATAGGATGTGAAGTGTTAAAGGTGCTGTATGCAGCCTCTCTAACATCAGTAGATTAATATATACTATTAGCCGTGTTATTTAGCTAACTCACTAAACAGATATTTTAACATTAGCCATTGCTTCAATGGAAAGATTCGTATTTTACTGTTACCTTTTTTGTGATTCTTTTCTTAGGAAATCATTTCTATGGAGCACAGTTTTCTGCAGTAATGTACAAAGTGGAACTGGATGTACTGTTTGTCCATTTGTTTTCTTCTTAGCTTCACTTAAATGTGGGAAATTATTTGTCCCTAAATCTTTCATTGTTTTGTTTCTAGAGATTGTCAAAGCTAGTCCTATTTTTACATTTATATCAAATCCAAACTGTTGGCTGCAAATGATTTACCAAAAGTTATCTTGGTTATTATATTTCTGTGTTATATTTTCTCTGTTAATGCTAAATGATGCTGCATTTAGTGCTTTAATAACAAGTGTTTTGATATCAAAGGTAGTAATTAATGTCTGTGTCTTCCCCCAGCCGAGGCCTACACGGGGTCGAATGCGGATCCACTGCCTGGAGAACGTTGACAAAGCCCTCCAGTTCCTTAAAGAACAGAGGGTTCACCTGGAAAACGTTGGTTCCCATGACATTGTGGATGGAAATCACCGCCTCACGCTGGGCCTTATGTGGACCATTATCCTACGCTTCCAGGTAAACACTTTGGTATTGTTAATATTATTGGATTGTACATTTTATCACAGTTCAGCGATGTAGTTGCCAGGCTTGGGAGAGTATTAGATCTGGCCAAGGGTTAACGTTTTTTTGCCATTGAGCAAAAAACTATTTTGGTTTTCTCAAGTGGTAGACATGACTTTTGTTGTAAGTTTTCAGTATTGACATTGAGGTAACTCTGATTTTAGTAATTGTTATAATAATTAATGGTCCTGGTTGATTTGGTTACAACAAGTGCAGTTTAATACTAGAGTAAACACAATTCTTGAGAAGCTACTTTGTCAGAAATACAACACGGGAGCAGCTGGTGTATCCGTTTACAGTGCAACCAAACAAACTTGTGTTGTTGTAGTCAGTCAAAAATAATTGCAACTGAAATCTCATTTCATGCTGCAAACAACACAAGTAGTTTTTCACACAACAGCAGGACACAGTAAAGTCAGAGTCTGATTTGTCTAGCCTCTTTATCTAACACTCACTGTGGTTGGTCGTTGTTGCATTGGTTCCTGTAATATTTCAAACTGATCCTCTGGCAAAAAAATGCTGAAACCGACCATGTATTTTTTTGGTTAGCAGATGATAACCTTTGTGACAAATACATTGAGTTTCTTGTGACTGCTCCACAATAAAAGCAACCCCATGTTTTGCCAGTTGAACACTTAATGTGAAGCAGTTAGCAGAAAGAAATGTTCAGTATGCATCAGCAGTAACTTGCTGCTCTGATGTAGCACCAGGAGAGTGAAATCTGGATTACATGCTATATTGTTTCCTGTGAGTCCCTCATGTGTAAAGGTAATTTGAAAAAAGTGTTAGTTAGTTACAGAATATAAATACATGAAAGTTTTTGATAAAATGTCGACCATAGGTAGTATCAAAAATGGGGTTTGATTTCATGAAAAGGGGATTATAACTTGGTCGTGGTCTGATATCAGCAGTATCACATGAGTGTTTTTAGCCAATGCAGGTACACTAGACAGAAAGCTAAATTATTGACTGACTTTCAAATATTTGATTCTTCCCGTGGGAGCTTCTCTGTGAGTTGCTGGCACATCTTCTCATGCTACTTACTGAAGCACAAGGATGCTGTAATCAGCAGTGGTTTCATTTGGGATGAGCTTCCAGCGATTCTGTTTGAGGGAGGCTGTCACAGCTGCTGCATCATCAGTGTGCGACAGCGACAGCAGTGTTTGGTGGATAAAGCCTGAATGTCACTCAGGGCTCAGTGGCCTAGAGGTAGCAGTCGCCTTCCAGTCTGCTCTTCAACAAGGACACACACACTGCACTCACTGGCTTACATACACACTCCATCAGTCCATATATAGTCACACACATGCACCTATATACTCAGATCCTGACATGCACATACTACTACAAAAATTTTCTCACACACACACACACACACACATACACACAAGGTTTCCAGGCATTAGCAGCAGTGATACAGGATCAGTTCCTGCCATGTAAGTACAGCAGAAGCCCACGGCTCCTCTTTATTACGCTTCAGTGCTACAGCGTGGCTTTGGCACAAAATGCTTGTTTAGCATTATTCAGACCCTTCTGTAAAATTCACGGTGCACAGTCGCATAGAAGCTGTCTCCTGGGACTCAGTATTGTCATGCTAGGCCTGGCTCCCTACCACAAAGCACATTTAACAGACATTGTAGTATGTGGAGCGACCCTCTGCAAGCCAGGCTCGTGAGGCAAAGGGAGTGGATGTTCTGTGCAATATGGCTGATTCAACTGAGTGATGAATGAATATGTTGAAAACTAGTTAATGATGTGCATTATTGACATGTGTTGAGTTTGTGGTCCTAAGTCTATGCAAGGGGAAATCTCTCAAGGTCACACCTTGCATAGACCCAAAATAGTATTGTACCAAAGTATGTTAAAGGCAGGTTTAGGTTAGATACTTAGTTAAGTAGACACAGTTTAGATTTAGAGTTAGTAAAATTATTTGATAGCTGTAGTACAGCCATTCTACAGAAAGTAATAGGCATGGTAGCATGTCTAATAGTAAATTAAGTTAAGCCTGTTGTGTTTTGAGTAAGCAGCTGTAACTATACAGTTTAGACTACAGTAGTGTTAGCTGACTACTAGCTTTGCCACCATTTACTGTGAGCTTGGCTGTCATCCCACTCACCCGTTACCAAGAGCCACCAGTCGATGGCCTCTTCAATTTTGCATGTGCTGTGTGTGTGTGTGTGTGTGTGTGTGTTTGTGTGTGTGTGAGAAAGAGACACTAATTATGAAAGAAGTGAGGATGGGGGAAATGATGGTTGGCTAATGGGAAACAACAAGCAGTGGTGTGGTAAATAAGCAATGGGTGGGGCCTAACTGTGACCTTCAGTCATTGTTCACCATCAGTGATGTGTGCTCAGTCAAATTTCTGATCATAAACAGAGGTTAAAACTAGGTCAAAATAAAAATCACTCTTTCCTGCTATCCTTATGATTTGTCTCCGGTCACAAGCTGCCGTTATACTCCTTTAGGCTACCGCCATTCCTACTGTTACCTGAAGAACACCTGCTCTATTTAGCATTATTTAAACAGGCAGGTAATGTGAGGTAAAGGGACAAAACAATGATCTAAAATTAAAATAAAATACACACAATATCAAGGGACCATGTAGAAACAGCACAGCACACAAAAACATCAAATTTAGATGTATTAATCAGATTTATTTTGGTAATGTTTCAAACTAGCAGTGGTAAACATATTTGTATATGCAGCTAATGTGAAGGTAGTGTAATAAAGGCATGAATTAAACATGAAACTAAAGTCACAGTAGTTTTAATCCTGTTTAATTAGAAGATGTTTCCTTCTGTCTCACAGTAAAGAACAGTGCACAGAACATGTTATGTTTGCTAGTGATCCAGACAAGGATTTTTGCCATTTTTTAGTCCATAATTATGAAAGTAACAGAGGCTGAGGCTTGATTTTTAATTGAGAGACGTGTTTATTAGGTCGATAACTTTATTTAACCAAAGATTTAAGTGCTCAGACTCAGCAGGATGGAGTATTGTCCAGGCTTGGATGAGATTTATGTTGTCAGAGTTATCTTTCCCTCTTGCACGTTGTCTTTCTCCATCTCCACCTCTTTCCCCCTTTCCTCTCTGGTGAAAGTGAGAGTTTGCTTTGTCCAGTCAGCAGGTAGGGCCAAACCACTGCAGTAGCTGCACACAGGCAGAAAGAGAGAGCGAGGCAGAGAGAGAGGGAGAGAGAAAGAGAGAGGGAGAGGGAGAGAGAGAGAGGGGGGAAAGAAGGGAGAGGATTGACAGAAAGAGGAAGAGGTAATCCATACGTATTTACAGAACCATACGCAAATAATAACAGACTGTTATTATTTGCAGTGTCTTCAGTTATTGTGTTGTATATGGTTGGCTGAATGTCCTTGTGTTGTGTGCAGTGTGTTCGTTTGCTTACCTAACATAGTGCCAGCTCACTTGCTGTTTACAACGAGTTTGAATCGAGACACATTGATGTAGCCTCACTGCAGGTTTGACCAAAAATATCGATTCAGGTTTTTACTGAATGTACAATATCGCACTCTTGTGGCATTGTTAAGATGTAGATTGTGAGTATCGATGAGGTGTTTAATATTTGATGCATTTCCTGTGGGTTTATCTGGCACACTCTCTTTAGCATTACAATGTTGTCTGTTTTTTACTCTTTTTAGTTTGACAGCAGAGAAAGAACAATAACAAGAGTTAGCGCAGACACACCAGATCAGATCTTTACAGTAGTTCATGTGCTGTTTATATATCAGTCAGGATGCCGCTGCTGCTGAAATAACATCCAGTGTGATATTCTCTCTGGATAAAGAGACAGTCATTTTAGTGTAGTCCCATTTGTGCGTTTGTGTTCATGCATAAGCGTTATGTGTGTGTGTTTTTATTTGCAAGACTGTGTGTGTGTGTGCGCTGTTGTACCTAACAACATGGGTAGCAGCTGATTCCAGGGTGTCACGTCCCCAATTACCTTGGATCATGTCACTGTGATGTGATTGGTTGAATGGCTGTCACTGTCACCTATCATCAGGCGTTGTGATGGCTCTGCTCTTCCCTGCACTGAGATCCTCAGTTCTCATTGCATTGTGGTGAGGGTTCGGGAATACTGTCGGGGCAATGTGACTCTGACCTTTGCTCTAGACTGGTTCCAGACCTCTGAGTTGCTGCCTAGATCTCAGCTTTTTCACAGGTGGTTCAAATAGGGCTGGTGTTGCTGTCATGGCTGTCTCCTCGGTTGGAGAAAGCCACTCAGAGCCTTTGTGGACGGGACTGAAGTTTAACACTTTGATCAATTATGCTGCATAATTATAGCCAATTAATTATAGCCATATAATGAATACAAATGATCTGACTCGGGATGGGAGCTTGACTACGAGTAGCTAATAAGTAAGCTCACTTTGCTAGCTAGCTTGCAAATGTCAAGCTCTGTCAGTCAGTCTGTGTCCACAATCACTCCTTCATTCACTCATTCACTGCTCCCTATAGACTCTAGATCACTCTGCAGTCAGATGTAAATTGAAACAAATTGCATTGTGGGAGTGTATTGTTCATGGACACTGCGTTTTCCCTCCAATGTGGGAATTTTAAGGTCTCTATATAGTGCTTACATTCTTAAACCAAAAAGTTTGACACTAACATGAAATGGCTGATCAGTATAGTGTACTACACAGTCAATAGGAAGGGATTCCTAGGAAATACCCTCAGTTACACTGTTAAACACTAGTATATATAGTCTTAAGTAAGGGGCAGGTAAATGCCTAAAATGTGAATGTATGTTCCCAAAAACAAAGCAGTGCAGTGCTTAAAACTGTACATCTGTTCTGTGAGACAGAAGGTGTAGGGTCTGTTCCACAATGTCTCTCCTACAAACCCTGAATTGTTGCTCTGCTGTGTTCTTGTTCAGATCCAGGTGATCAAAATAGAGACAGAGGACAACAGAGAAACCCGCTCTGCCAAGGATGCCCTACTGCTCTGGTGCCAGATGAAGACCGCAGGGTGAGCAGTGCAATGAAAATACAGGAAACTGTGAATATCTTGATGATTTAAATGCACCAATTTGGTATGTTAATATGTTAGTGCTCCTTGGTTTACATTAAAAGTTACAAAAGATCTGTCCATGCTCCAGGTACTCTGAGGTCAACATCCAGAATTTTACCACCTGCTGGAGAGACGGCCTCGCCTTTAACGCCCTCATACACAGACACAGGTAAGTAGTGCTTTTCACACACCATACTGCCATGTTTAAAATTGGAAAGTTGTACACGATGACAACAGCAGATATAAAATAGTGGGAATGCTTTGTTTGAATAAGTTTTTTTTAATTTACACCAGAAGTTGTTTTTTCAGTTTTAATAGTATTTTGGTGTAAAAACATGACCAAAAACAAATGGAACAACAAAAAGAAAATACATACACGGGCATTTCGGTAAACAGACGTACAGCAAGTTTGTCTGATGTTCAATTTCAGTATTAGAGCCATACAAAAATGACATGTCATCATCTTGTGCCCTGCAGACCTGACCTAATAGAGTTCCACAAGTTGACGCGGTCCAATGCAACCCACAACCTCCAGCAAGCCTTCAACATCGCTGAGCAGCACCTGGGCCTGACCAAACTCCTGGACCCTGAAGGTGAGAATGTTTTACTGGTTCTGGGTTAATGCCAGTCATACAACAATATCCATAATAGTGTCATAAAAGTGGCTGTGGAGCTCTACCTAAAGTCAAGCAGGTGAATGATGTGTGTGCTCCCTCCGGTGCAGATGTGAACACAGAGAACCCAGACGAAAAGTCCATCATCACCTATGTGGTCTCCTACTACCACTACTTCTCCAAGATGAAGGCTCTTATTGTGGAGGGCAAGAGGGTTGGAAAGGTAACACAAGTACATACATAGACACTTAAACAAAGTAACAATTCATCAAAATGTGTATCCATCATGTCCGCTTTCTGCTTTTTTCTTAATCCCATTCTTCCTCTCTGAATCTGCTCCCAACCTCTTCCCGTCTGTCTCACTCAGGTACTGGACAATTGTATTGAGGCAGAGAAGATCATCAACCGCTATGAGGCTCTGGCGTCAGACCTGTTGGACTGGATAGAAAAGACCATCGCGGTCATCAGTAACCAGAAGTTTGCCAACTCGTTGACCGGAGTTCAGCAGCAGCTACAGGCCTTCACAACCTACTGCACCATAGAGAAACCCATCAAGTACGTTTTGTGAATTTTTTAAAATGGTATCTTGACATTTTAGTTGCATTTTTTTAATCATTTAAGCACACACAAACATATGTATGCCGACTCATGCATACAAATAGGAATTCATGCATATGCTGACTGATTATGGTTCAAGAAGCTGCAATTGTAGCTACAAACAGACGCTGCTGCTGCTTTGATGTTGCATTTCATTATGTTATGTAGTGCTGAAACATTAGTCAATTAATCGTGGGTCCGATTCGTAGAACATTTATCTAGTACAACAATAATAAAGGAATCATTTCTAGCTTCTCAAATGCTGCTTTTCTCAATGATTTGATTAATGAAAAACCCACCGAACCAATCTACTGGTATATTAATACATAATGAAATAATCATAATTTGTAGCTCTTTACGTTACGTTGTTTTAATAATTTAACAACAATATAAGTATGTGAAAACTAGCCTTTATAGTGGCATTGATGGAAAATACTCACAAAAACATATTTGAAAGCTATTAACATTCAAAATAATATGTTTATGATTGTATCTTTACTTTCTGTCCTACCCGCAGAATAGGATTGCTGTATATATGTGTAGCTGACAACAGTGAATTAATGTGACTTGTAGTTAGTCTTATAGTAGGTTAGCATTAGCTGAGAGCAATGCATATGTAGCTAAAACATCTAGCTAAATCCTAAAATAATTGGTGTTTATTACACAATGCATAGTTTACATATTCTCACATATTGTTCTAAATTTACATTCTTTTTTCAAATATAGTATATGTAGCAGCAGCAACTTTGTGATTGTCAACCATTCAGATAGATCTACTAATGTAGTGTAATTAAGGTGACACAGTGCCAGTAGTTTGTGTGCCTACTGCTAAGGTTGATATGGTCTGTGTGATCTCTGAAAGTGAGGGTTGCCCTATCCTGATCAGCTTCTTGTCTGTTTTTGTATGTGTCAGGTGAAACAATTATCAATGAAACTAACTCATTAGGAGTGAAAGGAGGAAGTTGATCGAGTCTTGCTGTTTGTGCATCTGAACATGCGTTAAATGTGCTGGAATAACGAGCCACTGAGTCTTGAGCCTTTTGTCCAGCATCATCAGGATCAGCATTACCATCAGCCCCAGTACTACACTCAAGGCCCCACAGGCACTGGGAGTACACTGACAACAATGATAAATTCTCAGGTTCCAGCCTCTCCAATGTGAGGATGAGCAGTTTTTCTTTGTCATATATAATAAAAACCTGAATGTCTTAAGGGTTTGGACTGTTGGTCAGGCAAAACAAGACATTTGCAGACATCACCTTGGACTTTGGGAGATTATAATTGTACTTTTTCAGTATTTATAGACACCTAATAGACATAACAGTTGATTCATTAATAATTGATAAAAAATAAATAATAAAAACAATTCCTCCAGCCATAGATGAAATGCTTCTCTGGATAAATAAGTTTCCCTCAGAAATTCATACAAGAGCCCATTTACACACTTGGAATTCAAATCACATATTTGACACCATAAATCAAGGTCTTAAATGTTTTTATATAAAAGAAAATTATTATTTTTTTATCCGGGGGCTCTGCACAGAAAATGCCACCATATTGGTTCACAGCAGTAATAAACCACCATGTGTTTATATAGTAGACTCCCCCCAGAGTGATGAATGGCCATGACAGTGGACAGCAGGGTAGCAGAGTGATCAGAGAAATCGCCCTTTACCGGGAGTCCTCAGACCTCCCCATCAGCAAGCATTCATGCTGCGAGTGTCCTTGATGAAGACGCTGAAAGCCTCACCAACGTCTGTCTGCAGCTTGAGTGTTTCCTTTGACCTTGTTTTTTTTTAAAGTTTTTCTTTGAACATAGTTTGAAGTACTTTCAGTATGTCCTACACTGGCTGGGACTGTTGAAATAAAAGAGGCCACATTATGGAACAGGATCACTAACAAAGGCTTTCTGTTTCTCGCTCAGGTTTCAGGAGAAGGGGAATCTTGAGGTCCTTCTCTTCACAATCCAAAGCAAACTCAGAGCCAACAACCAGAAACCCTATGTGCCTCATGATGGGAAGCTCATCTCAGACATCAACAAGGTAACACATCCATCAGTATTTCACCTTTTACCTTTTTCAGTCACCATCGCTCTTCCACACTTTCACCTCACATTGACCCCTTGTTGTCATATTTCCCATGGCTTTGGCTTTGTTCTATTACTAACTTTTCTCTTTGTCATTTTCCTTCCAGGCCTGGGAGAGGCTGGAGAAGGCGGAACACGAGAGGGGCGTGGCTCTGCGTAAGGAGCTGATTCGTCAGGAGAAGCTGGAGCTGCTAGCTCAGCGCTTTGACCACAAAACCACCATGAGACAAGCCTGGCTCAATGAGAACCAGAGACTTGTATCACAGGTAAGGATCTCGGGGAGGGGGGGCAGGATACATCACTGTCAGTGTGGGAATTTATTCCCCCTACTTTAACTCATCTAGCATGCAGCTGCAATATAAACATGCTTCTTACAGTGAAGACATAATTGCGAATAAGCCAGGGGGTACCTCTTTTGACTGTGTGGAAGAAAAAGATGGCATACACATTTTTGTTTTAGTTAGAACTACATTAGTTTTGCTTATTATCCCTTCATTTGGATGTTTGACCTTCACTGTGCAGAATGATGCACTAGAAGACGGTTAGCACATTAATCTGTTGAAGGGAGAAAGTTTCTCATGTGCTCACCTCACTCATCACAACTAGTCTGGAAGCCAGCTGTGGTCCTGTATGCAACTTACACGTGTGATGTGGAAGATTTAATCCTGTACAACTATAATGGAGAATGGTAGGTTTTCACAGTGTCTCCTCATAGATCTCCTCTGTGAGTAGCCCCAAATTCCTCTCACTCACGATCCACTCACCTGAACATGTGTCAAGTGTCTGAAGTAGTGGTCGACGGATATGGGATTTTCAATGACAGATGCAGATATTTAGAGATATCAAAACCAAGACAATCAATGTACAGTTATATTCTGTTCTATAGGAAATACAGGCATATGTTTACAGCTGGATGCTTGAAAGTCATAGTACTTTGGTCGTCATATTTTTTTCACTGGTTAATCTTTATTGTATTAGTCTTCTTTCACTCCTACCCCCTTTGTCTCCCCACTTTCTTTGCCTCGGCTGCACACCTTAAATCACAAACACCTTTTTTTCTTCTCTCTGCCTAAAGGACAATTTTGGCTATGACCTACCAGCAGTTGAGGCGGCAATGAAGAAACACGAGGCCATCGAGGCGGACATAGCCTCATATGAAGAGCGAATCGGCGTGGTGGTGGAGCTCGCTGCAGAGATGGAGGCAGAAGGATACTACGACATCCGGCGTATCTCGGCACGAAAGGAGAACATCCTGGGCCAGTGGAGTCTGCTGAAGGAGCTGGTGGCTGGGAGGAGGACCCGGCTGGAGAAGAACCTGGCCCTGCAGAAGACTTTTCAGGACATGGTCTACATGATCGACTGGATGGAGGACACACAGGTACTACAGGCTGTGTGAGAGAGAGAACGAGAATGACACTTCACCTGTATATTCAGTAGTTAAATAAAGACTAAATAAGACTATTAAAGAGTGGAGATGGAGAAAGAGGGCAGGGTACGTAAGAGTTAGAAAGATATAAAGTTATTCAGATGTACAACGGCATCACAAATGTCCTCTGTCATCCCTTCGCCTCTCTCGTCTTCCCCTCCCTACATCTCCTGCTCTCTCACAGGTCCAGCTGCTGTCGAAGGACTTCGGGAAGCATCTTCTGGAGGTAGACGACCTGCTGCAGAAACACAGCCTGCAGGAAGCCGACATTACAGTGCAGGCTGAGAGGGTCGAGACACTCAACACCGCTGCACTCAAATTCACCACTATAGAGGGTATAGACACACACACGGATCTTGTTTATTATCTATAGCACTAGTGACGCATTTCATGTTATCTGTCTTTAACTTTACTGGTTTGAATCACCTTAAAGGAATAATCTTTGGTGCATGAAAATTTGCAATATACGCTGAGATTTCCATTTTGCAAAGTTTGCCATAAATATACAGTCATTTGACTACAAGATGCAGAATACTAATGAACTCAAGGCCATTAATCAGAACATTTAGAAAACAGTTATTAGATTTGACACATATTTTGATACAAATACCAATGTGGGTATTGATAACAATACAATATTAAAATGTAACCTTTGTAAAAGCTCATAATGCTCAATTTCTGTTGAGACTGTGTCTGAGAGTGACTGAACTCATTCTTTGTTGGTTTGGTTTGCATCGTACTGTACGGTGTCCAGAATAATATTGGGATATAATAGTAAAATATAAGAGTCATTAGATTGTAATGAAGAGGCAACAAATGTCTCTGAACTTTTCTAGACTTTTCTGTAGTACTTGTTATTTGTCATAGACTAAATGAAACAAGGAGGAAGCAATGATCCAATGATATTGATTTCATTTAGTTAAGTGAAGATGTATTTGACCTTGAGACAAGTGGAAAATAGATTTTTGGAACTTGATATCAGTAAGGTGATCTCAGTACACTGTGCATGTTTTTTCTTTATTGTTTTCGAGGTAGTCCAGCTCAGAGTACACTGAATGAAGTGCTGTATTTTTTCACGTTATTAACCTCATTTTGTTGTCTCCCAGGTTACCAACCATGTGACCCGCAAGTTATCTGTAACCGTGTCAATCATGTCTCCTCCTGTCTGGAGGAGCTGAAACAACTGGCAGCTAAAAGACGCACTGAGCTTGAAGAGTCGAGACAGCTATGGGCGTTCTTTCAGGTAGGATGAGATAACGATATGAGGAAAATGGTGGGATTATATTATGTTAATAGCAAATTAAGGGGCCAGTATACGCCTTCTAAAGTGCTTGTTGGATGCTGAGAACAGCCAGGAAAACCTGCTCCCTCCACACCTTTCCAAAGTTAGAGCTGCGTCTTAGAGTTTCTGTAACTTTCCGAACCGACAATCCAACCCACTTCATACAGGGATTGACTAGAGTTGCAGAAGTGAGATAGTAAACTTTTCTCTCAAGCACTCTTCTTTTTATTCTTTAGTGCACAAATGCGCCGTTATTCCTATGTTTAAATGATTATTGCGTCTCCCCTCTCTGTATGCCTTCAAGTGTGGCCAAAACTAAAGACATTTAAAGGGCTGTCAGTGCTTGTGTTTGGATTTCCAAATAATTAA